GGACAAAATCGTGAAGATACTGCTCACACAAATGGGGGGGTGAGATAGCTAGACAGCTGGATACCTAGACAAATAGACAGACAGACAGACAGATAGGTAGACAGAGTGGCCGATTGATTGACAGACCGATAAACATGGAGAGATACAGATGTGAGTAGATTGCCGAGGTTGTTGGCTGAGGGACTTGGAACCTGTCCGCTTTTATTGTTTCAAGCGCTGTGTTTGCGGCTTCGTCAAAGGGTTTACTCTGATATCGTGCATTCCGGCTTTCCTTCCATTCATGTACAACTTAACCATGTATTCCTTTTTCATTTAGAAATGCGTATGTATTTCTGTCTCTTATCCTCGGGTGTACTGTCTGTCTCTTATCCTCGGGATTGCCGTTCCCTTGGCACGCCGGGCGTCATGCCTCTTGGTGCCTGCTCGCCTGACCTAGCGCCGGAGTGAAACTCGGACAATCGCAGAAACGTATAAAGGTCGCCCCGAAAGGGCCTCGTTTTCCGCTCATCAAGCGCTTATTCAGCCGCGCCGCTCTCCCGTCTTCCCGCTCGATCCCACTTCAATTTCGTCCCAGTCAATCACCGCGCAGCCATCGGAAGCGGAGCAGATTTTTCCCAGCCGATGCTTTGCCAATCAAATCGCAGAGGCAATAACTGGCAGCTGCGGCCTAGAGATCAAGGAGACACTGATTGATAATGATGAATACGCTCCGCAAGTTTTGAGGTGGGCGGTTTAGCGGTGCATTGAGGCGATAGAGGCTTGGACTGCAGCTGCTCTAATCTTTTCTCAAACACCATTACCAGCCCTTCGTTTTCCACCCGTGCGTAGAAATAGAACAAAGGTATGAACTTCATTATTGCGGATTATTTTCGTTATCCTTTTAGTATCTAAGATTTTCATTCATTGACTGAGTACCATTGCAAAAACATATTACGCTGTTCTCTAAATATTGTTTTGGGCGTATGCCGTGTTCATTATAGTATATCATCCTGAAAAAGAAAAATATACCCAAATGTTTCAGTAAATTTTGAACAATTAATGGCAACATTCAATTTCAGGACTCCATTGTTCCTTTTTTCGCAATTAGCTATGATATTAAAGCACATAGCAGAAATCATGCATATACATGCTTGGGATATTTAGTCTAGACGTAAAGCAAGTTCAGTGTAATCATGGATAGGTATTATAAATCAAACGTGTTCAGAGAAATGCATATATATATATATATATATATATATATATATATATATATATATATATATATATATATATATATATATATATATATATATATATATATATATATACATATATATATATATATATATATATATATATATATATATATATACATATATATATATATATATATATATATATATATATATATATATATATATATATATATATATATATATATATATATGCATATGTATATACATATATATATATATATATATATATATATATATATATATATATATATATATATATATATATATATATATATACATATATATATATATATATATATATATATATATACATATATATATATATATATATATATATATATATATATATATATATATATATATATATATATATATATATATATATATATATATGTATATATATATATATATATATATATATATATATATATATATATATATATATATATATATATATATATACATATATACATATATATATATATATACATATATATATATATATATATATATATATATATATATATATATATATATATATATATATATATATATATATATGCATATGTATATACATATATATATATATATATATATATATATATATATATATATATATATATATATATATATATATATATATATACATATATATACATACATATATATATATATATATATATATATATATATATATATATATATATATATACATATATGCATACTTCATTTATATCTAAGTATGTATGTGTGTGTATATATATATATATATATATATATATATATATATATATATATATATATATATATATATATATATATATATATATATGTATATATATATATATATATATATATATATATATATATATATATATATATATATATATATATATATATATATATACACACATACATACTTAGATATAAATGAAGTATGCATAAATGTATATATATATATATATATATATATATATATATATATATATATATATATATATATATATATGTATATATATATATATATATATATATATATATATATATATATATATATATATATATATATATATGTATATACATATGCATATATATATATATATATATATATATATATATATATATATATATATATATATATATATATATATATATATATATATATATATATATGTATATATGTATACATATATATATATATATATATATATATATATATATATATATATATATATATATATATATATATATATATATATATATACATATATATATATATATATATATATATATATATATATATATATATATATATATATATATATATATATATATATATATATATATATGCATATGTATATACATATATATATATATATATATATATATATATATATATATATATATATATATATATATATATATGTATATATATATATATATACATATATATATATATATATATATATATATATATATATATATATATATATATATATATATATATAACCCAGCCACTGAGGGAGCAAGCCAGCTCAACTCAGTGCCGGTCCCAAGCCCGGATGAATGGGGAGGGTTAGCGGCAGGAAGGGCATCCGGCTGTAAAACTCTGCCAAAACCCCAAAATGGAAAGCCGACAAGAAAGCGCCTCGGAACCTGCTAGGGCGTACCCCAGAAGCGACGCGCAGGAGCCCCGCCTGACTCCTGTGATAAGTGAGCAAGGGCTACCACGTCAAGAACGGACGCGGTTAAAGAAGCCAGTTCAGAAGATTAGAGTTGGAACGCTGAATGTGGGAAGTCTGACAGGAAGGAGTAGAGAGTTGGCAGACGTGATGGAGAGGAGAAAAATAGGTGTGCTGTGTGTGCAGGAAACCCGGTGGAAGGGAAACAAATCGAGGGAGATAGGAGAGGGTTGTAAGCTCATTTACACAGGAGCCAACAATCAAGGGAGAAATGGAGTTGGGATTATCTTGGACAAAAAGTGGAGAGAAAATCTAGTCCATGTTGGAAGGAGAAGCGACAGGATAATGAGCGTCAAGCTTGCGTTAGGAAAACTGGTGCTAAATGTCATCTGTGCCTATGCACCACAGGTAGGATGTAGTAATGAAGAAAAAGACGAGTTTTGGCAACAACTGGATGTGGAACTACAGGCGATACCACAGGAAGAGAGGGTGTTCTTAGGAGGAGACCTAAACGGTCACTTAGGCCCTGAGAGAGGAGTCCTGCACAGGGTACATGGAGGATGGGGAATGGGTGAGCTAAATGAAGAAGGAGAAAGGGTCATAGATTTTGCATTAGCAAATGATATGGCCATAGCGAACACTTTCTTCAAGAAGGATGCCCACCAATATGTCACTTACAAAAGTGGGGGTAGAGAGAGTCAAATTGACTTCCTCGGGTGTAGAAGGAACCATCTTGGTGAGGTGAAAAATTGTAAAGTGATCAAAGGAGAAAGTGTTTCGGCCCAACATCGAATTGTAGTTTTAGATTGCGAAGTGAAGAACACGAAGAGGGGGAAACAGCTAAGCATACCAAAGATTAAGTGGTGGAAACTAAAAGAAGAACATCTCAAGGTGGACTTTAAGGAGAAAGTGATGAGAGAAGTAACATCTAAGGAGGACACAAATGAGTGGTGGGAAGAGAATAGTAAGGTCATTAGGAGGGTGGCAGAGGAGGTGCTAGGAAAAACATCTGGGAAAGGAATGCCTCAAGGAAAAGATACATGGTGGTGGAGTGAGGAAGTTCAAGTTAAGATCAAGGAAAAGAAGGCGGCGAGAAGAAAGTTTGAAACATCAGGTAGAGAGGAAGATCGAGCAGCAGCAAAATCAGCCAATAAAGAGGCAAAGAAAGCAGTAGCACAAGCCAAAGCAAGAGTAATGGGCGAAATCTATGAAGAGTTGGAAACAACAGAAGGACAGAAAAAGATATATCTGTTAGCAAAGAGGAGAAATAGAGCGACAAAAGATTTCACACAGATAAAACAGATAAAGGATGGAGAAGGAAGACTACTCAGTGACGAGAATGAAATTAGGAATAGATGGAAGGTCTACTTTGAAAAGCTACTGAATGAGGAGAATGAGAGGAGAGTTTTTGGAGAAGGTACTTCAAATGAGAGAGAAACACCAGAAATAGAAAGACAAGAAGTAAAAGAAGCCTTGAAGAAAATGAAAAATGCAAAAGCTACTGGACCCGATGAAGTACCAGCAGAAGCATGGAAAAGTTTGGGCGATGATGGAGTGGATCTCTTGTGGGATCTTTTCAGTAAGATCTATGATCAAGGAAAGATGCCCAATGCATGGAGGGAGAGTGTGATCATACCAATATATAAAGAAAAGGGGGACATACAAGAGTGCGGAAACTACCGAGGAATCAAACTGATGTCACATACAATGAAAATATGGGAAAGAATCATAGAAAGGAGGATTAGAAATGAAACTGAGATAGGGGACCAACAGTTTGGGTTCATGCCTGGAAGAGGGACAACGGATGCCATCTTTGCTGTTAGGCAGATGATGGAGAAATATGGGGAAAAACAGAGAAAGTTACATATTGTATTTATAGATTTAGAAAAAGCGTATGATAGGGTGCCAAGAGGAGAAGTATGGAGGTGTTTGAGGGAAAGGAATGTGTCTGAAAAGTACGTCAGATTAGTGCAGGATATGTATGAGGGGGCAACAACGCAAGCAAGGTCGAGCGTGGGACTGACAGAAAAATTCTCTGTCGCAGTTGGACTACACCAAGGGTCTTCTCTGAGTCCGTACATCT